TGGAGCCCCAAGAAGGGCGAAACTTATCGTGGGCTTTGGAAGAGTCTTCAGCAACCTTTTGATTTGTGCATTGCGTCCATAAAAGAATTTCACATTTTATCAGCACTCATAGTGATTCTCCAGGATTTTACCTCATATTTCAGTAAAGTTAATCAAATATTTAGCAAAAATCATCGTTTTTGATGAACTTTGAAAATGAACGTCCTGAGTCCAACGGAAGGGGGAAAATATTTAAAAACTGTCGGAAGGCTTTTATATAGATAACCTCTTCTATTGCGTAAGACGTCGTCAGAAAACTTCAGAAGCTGTCAGTTGACGCATTAAGCGAAGGATAAACCAGTGTCATCCTGTCGTGGTCCTCAAGCCACTCAACATATTTTCCTCCAGATTGTCCGAATTTCAGTTATGCGTCTTGACATCCATTTTAACACGGACGCACTCCTCTCAACAAATCCCTGGGGGTATATTCCGTTTGCCAAAATTTCGTACGGACGCTAGGTGGCCGATTCAAGGAGTGGGAATAGCACAGAACAACATGCTTCATTAGCATAACTTGAGATGACGAAGGTAGTAGCTGGTGCTCGGTCAAGAAAAGGAGAAATTTGTTAAATGAAGTCAGTGGTTTTCAGTTTTATCAAGATACTGATACGACCCCTAGGGGATGCAGCCATCAACTTTGCAAACTGAGCTATTGATAGGCTGATGATCTGCACTGAAGTTACACATCAGATCACAAGAACTCATCTCTGACCAATATTGTCTCGAAACTACCGGAACGCGGAGAAGTTCTGGTACATCACTTGTTTAGCACGGAACAGATTTCTCGTCTTGTCAGTACCGATCGAAAAATGTAGCTGGCTCATCCAATTCGGTCTTTGTAACCGACCCACCCGACTTCTCACAATACATCTTGCTTAATTTCGGGCTCCTGTTTAATTAGGTTAATATTTCTATCCGTTTTCTTGATAGTCCTAATCACTGGTAGTTATGATTACTTGTGATACGAGATGAATTTGAAACGAAACAGATGCGCATAGCGCCGCCATGTTAGCGGGTGAATTTTCATCAGTAAAGATTTCACTTCTACTCTCCCATGGGCATGGCTGTAAATGTCGAGTTTTTGCAAAGACAGAGGAGAAAGTGAGGTGTCAGATGATTTGTGTTCAATCGATCAACAAATCGATAAAGCAGGCACTTGCGCTATGCCCACTGATATTCAGCACACTCACGGACACACTGTAGCGCATCTCTCAGTGCCACAGAAGCATTTTGAAATGTCGATTCTAGTGATGATTACCATTTTCAACAGCACTTTTTACCATAGAGCAAATGACCACAAGGAGCATCATTTCAACGGCCTCGGACTGAGTGGGCCTTTGCTGTCCTCAGCAATCAGTTTCTTGCTTCACTCAACAATAATTGGGAAACTAACCAGGTTACTTAGAAGTGATGAGTGAGTAATCCCTTATTAAACTGAACTCGAACGGGCAAACAGGTCTTCATGCTGTGAAGTTAGACATTCGCTTACACACTGGGGTTGTAGTAAGGGAAATTCAACTGGCTGTTTAACAGCGTACATTGAATAAAGTTAGCCCGTACATCAAAACTTCTATATGCTAGGATCGATGAGAATGCTTGGAAAGCCTAGTATCAGTTTCACTTTGCTTGTGTGTCATCAGGGTGGCTAGTCTTCAAATTTCCATTCGGCGTAGTTCTTATGAAGAAACGGACAAAATGCATACAGTAAAAGCACTCATTTTGGAAATACGACTGTCGCATTCCTCAGCTGAACATCTCATTTTTTATACTCTTCAACTAATGGCCCCTGATGAGCCCCCAAAATAGGCGCAACAGGCAGTGTGCTACTTATGAGTATCGATGAATCTTACAGATAGCGTCGTACCGGGGAAGATAATTCGATTGCTTCCAGCTGAAACACGATGTGGTCTTTGCACGGTGCATTCAGTTGAAGATTACTACAAAATGATGTTTCAGTGGAGCGTCCAGTTAAGATTCACGTTGGTTTCCAAGGGGGGTTCTACTTCATACACGTCAAGTTTTTGTTAAAATGCGAGGCAGGATGGATGGAAATTTAGGGACCGGCTCCATTCAGTCGGTGTGAAACAGAATGAAACCGGTAGTGGGCTACCCATGAGATTTCATAGAGTTCATTTTTTCGCTAAGCAGTTGAAATCCGAAATCACTGTTGAGCACAGTGGGATAGTAGGATAGTGCACAATCAGGACAGGAGAAAGGTGTTTTTCCAAGGGGTTCTACTTCATACATGTCAATTTTTTGTTTAAATGCGAGGCAGGATGGATGGAAATTTAGGGACCGGCTCCATTCAGTCCGTGTGAAACAGAATGAAACTGGTAGTGGGCTACCCATGAGATTTCATAGAGTTCATTTTTTCGCTAAGCAGTTGAAATCCGAAATCACTGTTGAGCACAGTGGGATAGTAGGATAGTGCACAATCAGGACAGGAGAAAGGTGTTGCAGTTGCTTGCGGTGTTTGATATACTTAACCGTTATTCTTCATCTTCTTGCTCTGAAGAGAAATACACGCACCCCACTGTAGCTACGCTGTGGTATTTGTTTACCTCAAAAATATAAATTCAGCGTTCCTTCAGGAGTACCAAGTGTTAATTTCTTATTAATCAATTGATAGGTTACATACAGACGGTTGGTATATATTATCACGTGCCAGACAAACACTACCATGGCTCGGTGTGGAACGTACAGAATAGGCACCGCAACGTCTGTTCTGCACTGGGTCAAGTGGTGAAGAAGAGTAATAGTGCAAACAGGACACTGAAAACGGACAGAGAACGATCAACTGACAGGTCACAAACGAACATCGATTAGATCAAATGTCAATCACGTGAGAGCGGGAACTAATAGCAGGACACTAGGACTTTGTGAGGGTGTTCCGTCCTAATGACTTTTTGGATTTATGTTTTACCGATTGACCGCACTTTAGTCTGAACAAAGGAAGTCACTCAGTTTGAATCTGTCAGTACTGTATATTGCACGTAGAAGCGACCCAGCGATATCTCGAATATCGGGCCTACTGAATCATGAGGTGGCTTGTGTGTAGCACATTCAGTTGTAGAATATCATAAAACGCGAGATCAAGTTGAGTTCTCGTGAAAGCCATATTGATTTGCAAATGAGTGTATTTCTCGAATCCCGAAGAACATTATAAAGGAGTCTACTCTCAGATATAACTGCCAATGCGCCTTCGACCTCAGTTTCTAGGATAGGCATGTCGCCGCACAAATTACATGGGCGCTCTTTATGTGTGGCTTCGATGCTATAGGAACCAAATTGTAAGGACACTTGAGAGGTGTGACATATATGGGCATGACGCTGCACACCACTTGATGAATAAGAAGTATATATATAAGATGTACTATGGGTGGTTAAATAAATTGGGTGTCAGTTTTATGAGCACAGCCTATACCTAATGCAACAAACTAATGTGTAAATCAGTGTTTAGAAAACAGTGGATACGGTAAGCTTTCAAACTTACTAAAGAAACAATCATGTTGATTGGGAGCCTCGTTTGGTGATGGTATACTTCAGAGTTGGGAGCACACGAGATAGTGTTTCGGGCTACAACTGTTATTCGGACTTGTCCATCGTCGAGGATCCTAGCTCGATTGAGAGGACCACCTTGTGATTCCAAACAGTTGTTTTTGTGTATTTACTCTACCATGGAATGTCGACAGCTGACCACCTTCAGCCAAAACAGCTTACTCAGGGTTGTTAGCGAGGACAGTGCTGTGCTCGAAAAGGATAAGCGCTTGCTCATGTGCCCATTTATCTCTGGATCAAATATTATTCAGCTATGATTCTTGCTACACCCTACGTGTGCGCAAGCTCAGGTCGCTGGGTGAGGCACGATCAGAAAAACGTAATAGTCTGACTACTGACTCATTTGTTAGTAGAAAGATGTGCAAAACTGCAAAATGCAGTCTGAATTATTTTCATAAAGGAAACTACTCACAAGGTTGCTGAAAACTCTTTGACAGCCCACGACCGGTTTCGCCCTTCTTGGGGCTCATCAGGTAGGCGCAGTCCCCGAGTTTCCGTCAACCTTATGATCTACTTCTTTGCGTTTACCACACTGCACTGAAGTTACACATCAGATCACAAGTCTGAATTAATTGAAAAATGCAATATTTTGAGTGTAGTAGAGCGTGTTACCACAGTTACGAACGACAATCTTAATTACTGCCTTATTTTTGTCACTTCAAGTGCCAGCGAGGAAAAAGTTTATGAAGATAGAAGTGGTTAGAATTCGACCACCTGCCTGACTCATAAAGATGTAAATGATTTGCAGTAGGGCACAATGAGGAAAATTTAACGACAAAATATCACCCTCACCAATTGATCCCGTTCCTAAGCTAAACTAAACTAGTTTTCCTTTATAATTCTCACTTATTGGTTGGATGTCAATTAAAAACAAGTGATGAGAGCAATATCTTTCGGCAGTAGTAAAAACCATTCAATCATTTTTGTCCAGCGATAACACAAAACTCATATTTTTGCTGAAAACTCTTCGACAAAAAACGATCAACTTTACTTTTCTTGGGGCTAAACAGGTAGAAACAGTCCCCTTGTTTTCGTCAACATTGTTTTCTATCTGAAACAAATGGTTTACCCTTAACTAAAGCCAACGCCGGCTTAACTGACGTACAAGATTGCGGCTCCAGTTATATACTGTTTGGCATTCATTTAGTTCACATTGATGGCGGCTCGGGAATTATGTTTACTTAGTGAATCACAGGAATGATGAAATCGGTAATGGGCAGACGAAGAGTTGGCACCAACCTCTAATTCGGGGCTTTTATTTTGCCACAGATTGTATGTTGCTTCTGGTAGTTACGCGTGCACGTATTACGCCGCACAGTTGCGCTCACGTGATAACGTCCAACGTAAGGTAAACAGCTGATCAATATGGTTCTATCGATCCGTATTTATTCAAAAATTCCATCATGCCCGGGACTAAGCAGTGTGTCTCTTCCAATGTAAGTTTTTCATATTGAATGCCCGTTGAAAATAGTAACAGGTGCCTTGGTATGAACGTGCACACGATACAAAAACTTTGGCCTCAACAAGACGATACGTGAGTTTTCTCGTTTGGTAAATTATAAATTATCTTGGAGCACAGGTGGATTATATAGATCCTGAAACCCCGCGGGATACTCTGGATTTTCGACTCAATTCAGTGTACGATCAACATGGAGATTACAATAAAAATCTGCGAGAGTCAGTACTCCAAAAAGAATCACTCCGTCTCCTGACTGAGTGTCAAATGAAAACATTAAAAGACGCCAAGGCAGAACGGCTTCCACCCTATACATGTCTCAAAGGACATGGGTAATTTTCGCTATTCACAACCGGGTTTGATTTATTGTTTGGAGGTTGAAACCAAGTCTTATGGTATCGGAAGTTCAGGTTAAGTATTTCCCTCAAAATATTCTCTTGCATGCTAGCAGCGGCAAACAAATACGACAGTTTGACCCGGGATATACCACTGGCCACTCACGACACATAATATCTTGTTTTAAGATAGAATTCAAACTGGAAACTTTTGGCTCTGTAAAGAGTATATCATGATGTCGGAAACCAGGAAGTTTGAAGATGAAGCTACCAAAGATATCTTCATTCAGCCGACGAGAGGATGCTCTTTACTGATAGGAATGAAAACATCAACATACCTGAAACACCTGAAATAGCGGATGAATCCGACAAGAATTCAAATAAAAAGCATGGTCCAGTGGATTGTGCATCCTCGCTTTCCTATCATAGCGTAAGCGTGAGCATACCGATCGCTGGTAGAGAAATACATTTTTAATGAGCTAATTTTAAGGAGTATCTACGTATGTGAGAAACTATCCGGTCGGTTTATTTTCATTCTTCTACCATACAGAGGTATCTTTGTGATCGCAGGAAGGAAATACTGAGATAGAAGTCGGTGCTGCTTGATAAGCAGCAACTAAATTTATTAGCCAAATAGGTTTGCCAAATAAGTTTCCTTATGGCACAAAATTTTATGGAGACGCAGACTGCACTGGAATGCAGTTCTCGGTTAGTTTAAAAAACTCAGGTGATGATGCTTGCACCACGAGACTCCTTAGATAATTTTCCTCTTGGCTATAAGACATACTGGAGATCTTGCACCATCGGTTGTTCACTACCCGTCACGACTATTCAAGGTCTGTTGGACATACTACAGACTATGGTGGTCCTTATTCAATTTGTAAACAAATCTCTGGGTACTTGTTATCTATTTAGGTAGTACGTCGACACCGTGAAATTAATATCTCGTTCGCATTGTTCAAACCTTCGTGTTTTAGCCGGATTCATCTGAATCGGATCCGTGGGATTGAATCTGGTACTGACGGAAAAGGTCGCCCCGCTATACGTTATTGGGAAAACCCAACCAAGCATTCTATTCACAAGGCAGACAATTCTATATGTGAGTTCGAGGAGGACAACAATCCCCCGTTTTCCCTTTTCCCATCCTGGTAATTACAAATTGGCCAGGTTTTATGTTAGCAATTCATCATTCTCAACATCACTATTACCATCATCATCATCATCATCATCATCATCATCATCATCATCATCATCATCATCATCATCATCATCATCATCATCCAGTAATATCAATGTTGGGACCGATTCTCACTGAGAAATCAGCTATTCTATGGCCTTTTAGACAAAGATAAAAAGTTGCAAAACTGAGAATAACGGAAATGGGGTGATTTTCAAGTTTGCCTGATTTGACGTTCGTTGCTCTGATAGGTTTTAAAACGTTCAACAGCTGTTTTAATAGATTCATAGGTTACGATACTCAACCGAGAATAGTGCGTCACCTGATTTTCAGTTCACCTGTTTTTTCAGGCAAATATCAAAGGCGTTGAAGGACCTGCCATATTTGGGAGTTTCTGTACATAAACACTGTAAAACAAACATGCTCCGAGAACCACTCCTAAATCCTGGATACAACATCGTCCACTGTGATGTTGTGTAGCCTGTTCTTAAATCCCCGCACAATTTTCAGAACAGTTGTGCTTCAGCGTTTGCGCATCGATATCTCTACTGCGATGTGCACAGCTATCTGTAAAATATATGTGCCCACATATATAACTGTCATTTTTCCAAACAAACAAAAACGGGAGGAAATTCAGCTTTTGGAATTACAGTAGTATCAACCACAATCGTTGAGGGAAATTTACGGATCCGACTAAGCGAAGAAGTAAACATCAGTTAACCTCAACTATCTAAGTTCTAATTCCCCTGTATAGCTTGCACGGTAATGGCGCCAAAAAAACATTTTTTCCTTCTCGTCCCTTCCTGATTAGCTGGTGAACATTCTCAAGAAACCAATGCTGGCTATTCACGTAAACCAAATGGAAACCATTTCCCAGCTTAGGCCAGAAAAGAGCAGATTGCAAACAGCATTTGACGGAGTTTCAGTTCAATCACCTCCATTGTCCTGTGATATGGTGCACGCAATCCAAAAACGTCGGTTGTGTGGTTATTTGGAAAAAAACGTTTTGGTTCGTGAAGATCAGCGAAACCATGAATAAATCGCTTGGCAGAAAACGTTGTGCTCACTATATCTGACATCTTACGTGAACAGAAAACCATACCCTTTGTATGAAAATTTACGAAACACATGGTGATTGGAAAATCGGGTCAAATCCAGCAAATTTTACTACGGTAGATCTTGCAACCCAGGTGGAATAAAACGGAGAGAAAGAGACCTTTTAAAAAAGAATTCATCCTGTAAGTGAAGCCAGTCTATGCTAGAAATTCCAGAAGCACTGCACAGTTGTTTCGTCCTCATTGAGAATCATCACGGTTGTGCACCTCGCGAAACTCCATTAGAGAGTTTCAAACCTGTGACCTCCTGACAAGTCGTTTGGATGCTTAAAAGTGCTACCAGGAGTGGTTGATCAGCATCTCACTTAAATCGGACTTAGCATATAGCACCGCCCATCCTTTAGTCACGTAATTCACATCACGTGATCACAAGTATTGACTGGCCCCTCGAGTGACAGCTTCTCGGTTGGAATTTTCACCTCTGGGCAACTCATAGCTTGTCGGAACTATGAGATTTGCGTATTTTAACGAGGATTTCGTCCTAAACTGCTCCACGAGGATCGACTGATACTGCAAATAGTACGATATTCGAGTTTTCACAGTATGTTTCCCGGTCGAAGGATATCACACACGAAGGATTTGGTCACAACATGGTTGAGTCCACCGTTAACACCACTTTATTTTATAAGTGAATTTACTTTACCAATGGCACACACCATGGTTTTCTGGAAACTCAAGAATGTGTCTACTTCGTGATATCCAAGAAGGGAGAAAACATATATGGACTTTCGAAGAGTATTCAGTAGGCCTATGAGTAAGCAAGAGTGAACAAGTAACAATCAACCCAGAACAAACTGATATAATAGATACAATACACGGACCGATGAACAAAAAAAGACCGACACCCATGCACGCATCTGATTGGCAGAGTTGATCTGAAGGCAAGAGTGATGTAAATTATTAAAACAAGTTGTCCTAGATCCAGAAACTTGACTATTCTTGTTCATAATGAAATTAGATTAGCACATGGGATGCAGATGAACCAACAAGGAATCCTCATGACAAATCATCGAACCACTAGACAGAAAAAGTCAGAAGCGTCACACTTGTACTGACAGAGTGGTCGCAGCGCTTTTAGCCTACGCCTATTGCGAGAAGAGCTCTAGCCCCTGTAGGACCAATGACGTGGACTAATGATGAAGTCCAACAAAAATAAACTTCGACAAACGAGAATGAGTAGCATATGAATCCAAATTTAAAATGGTGCTGGAAGGTGTATGATACTCGCTACTTACTTGCTACTTGTCAATGTTGCTAAATTCTTGCTTTTGAGCATATATATAAAAAGGGCTTCAGCTGCAGAGTAACTTAACTAGATGCAGCTAGTTAAAATTCACTGTTCGAATTGGTGGATTCGAACAAGGTTTAATCACAAGCGGTTTTCTACTTAGACTGAGGTTCGGTTACACGTCAATTTGTTCACATCTTTTGATTTCAAAGCCTCTCTGTCAAGCAATCGTTGACGCGTCTACAGATGATATCCCTGGAGAATCAACGTCGCTCATTCTGAATAGCTTTTCTACAGGAGTGTACTTCTCATTTCGAGTGATGGAATCACGTTCGTAGCGGTTTGGGTGTGACAGCAATTGAAAGAAATACACAGCAATGAAGTAAATGGATAGAGAGGAAACTCGCCGATTCAAACTGCCTAAATCTATCTAACGAGTTGCTGGATATGACTGGTGGGTATTCGCACTTCAATCCAGCTGCAACCTGGAAACACTTCTAGGGTGCTGTGGGCGAACAGGGTCTCTGTCTAACTTGTGGATATCAAAACTCATCTGATTGATTCCTCTCATGGACCCACACAATTGACTTGTCAAAAAGCCATTAATATGTCCCTAGAATAATGCAGTTAATATTGCGAGAGGTACTATGAGTTTGCAGCGCCTCTTTACCCACTTCGTTCTGGTTTATATGTAGTTTACCCAGCAAATCTCTACGCTTAGTTCGTGTTTTACAAGGATGGTTGGATTTTCGTGATCTATGGAGGTTGAGGTTTAGAAGAGAAAAATTGTGTATTTTCGTTTCTACTGCTGCAAACAAGTGAAGACTCTGTTAACCAACATTTTTCATTCGTCCTTAGACACTTCCTCCATTAATTAAGGTAGCAATCCTAAGTAGCGAAGCATAAAAGCCACTACCGGAAAACTCAGCTGTACTGCTCATTGCTACCTTCTTGGAAGTCAGAAGTCTTGTTATGACAAGAGTCAAACTATCACCTCTGTGATTACTATATTCACTGAGAGGAGACTTTGAAATTGGGCACTACTATCGATTCCTCTCAGTTGTTCCCCCAGATAGACCCAACTAGGCTAGACGGGCACTGGCTGGGAAACTCACCAACATCCTTGAAGAGAGGGCACTACTATTCCTCTCAGTTGTTCCCCCAGATAGACCCAACTAGGCTAGACGGGCACTGGCTGGGAAACTCACCAACATCCTTGAAGAGAGCAGGTGGAAGGTCGTCGGGACCAGGATCACGATGACGCTTGATCAGATATCTACATTTGGACACCTCTGGGGTTCAAAACGGCTTCAAATTCACAGACCACGTTTGTGTTGAAGGCCAGAATTCCGGGTTAGAGGTAGCAGGCAGTCAACTGAATTGCTGTTCGAAGTACTCTGGTCAGCATTCCAAACGCTTTGCTTTGCTGGATATCAGGGAGCAATCTTGGTCCCTTATGATTTTATTGAGGAGAGGCTTCCGAGAGCCGGTCAAATGAATCAGCTTGAGCACGATTTCATCATTTTTCGCGTCATCTCTTCAGCCATCTCTTCAGCCTTTCGAGTAGACCAAACTTCTCAGTCTGCATGGGCACTCAGTGTTACCCGGCATAGGATGGTGCGTCGGGTGTAGATTGCGTTGCGGACAGGAGAAATCCGTCGCGGGGCCTCCAGAGTAGACATAATCCTAGCACAGATAATGTTGGCTGGGTTGTACCACAAACAGATATTCCGACTCCGAGTATCGCTTTGAATATCTTTTCTCAGTGGCCGTTTATATCCGATATCGGATCAGCAGGCGTTCGAGGAGTCTGTTTGATAGCTGCTTTTTCTGCTGGTTTCTCAGTGGTTAAGCAAGGTGTGCGCGTTTTGCGTACACCTGGAAGGCGCAATAAAAAGCAGCAGCGTAAAACTGCGTGGTCGAAGTTAACACTGTTATTCCAGAAGGAGCCATGACCAACCCTCGCCAGCAATAACTGAAGGCGATGTGGTCAATCTGGTTTCGTGGCTGGTTTTTTGGTGGGCACTACGTAGTCAAGCAATTTCCGCTGTTCCGGAGATTGGTGCTGCAAGGGGACAGTCTGTGATCGACACACATCCGGAACAGGCGATCTTCGTTGTCCGCGCGTCTCGTTTCCAGTCCAAAATGTACACCCAATCAAGCCTCAGCAGCGCTTAGCCTACCTACCTGAGCGTTCATACTATCAGCAACCACAACGACATCTGAGCTTTTAGCCCGTTTTAAATGATTACCTAGATCATCGTTGGCAGATTCAGAGCTACGTCGGTTGGGGCTTAAGCAGACACAATAAACAGGGTGCGATGAACCTTGATTTCTCTAAATTCCCACACAGACGATGCCAAATAAACCGCAGGGTGACTAACAACGGTATCCAATCAACTAGAGACGATTCCGTTCGGTTGCTGAGTACAACACTCAACCTAGAAGTCCAGTTGCACCGGCCTCTGCGTCACCAGAGGCGCGCAGGCGGAACATGGAAGATAGCGAGGAGGCAGTCAGTCTACTTACAGTATTTGATTCCTGTATCCTTGTTTTTTGCAGACATCATATATCAATGCTGAGGGAACGCAGCGTACGAACTGGATTGTCCTGCCGTAGTCCTGCTGCTGTCCTGATTGCCTTAGTGTGAAAACAAAATCGGTAGCTAATTGGACAGGCTTTCGGGGTTCGAAAACAAAATTCGAAGTAGTTTGGGTAGTAACTGAAGTCAGGCGTACAGAAGCTGCCGCTGAGTGTAATGCATGGCGAGCAAAACGGTGTTCCTAGGGCTGGGAGCTGCAAAGAGAGTGTTCAAGTTCTGGTGGGGTACGGTAAAAGAGGAAAAACGTGAAAGTGTAAGAAAGGAGGCGTCAGCAGGAGCGTGTTTTCACCTACCAGGCCTGGTGTATGTAGCTAGTAAGCCAATCCGGCTGGTGAGACCATGCGACGGTCGATGTGGCATGAGAGTATTGGTAGTTGTAAGTGTCATGATTGTGCGTTGGGGGGATACAGCCAGGGCACCCACACCTAGATAGGATTACGATCAGGATCCTCAAACAAGTTCAAAAGCCCGACTGCAAGGCAGCAGTATTTGGTGGGAAATGCAAGTGTATTAGCATTTTTTTAGAATAAGTCACGACACATGTCCCAACTCCTGACCTGGTTGGCTGTGTTGGTTAGTCTTCTAACTATTGACCAACCTAGTATGAAAGACTCTGTACGTGTTGCACGGACACCACCCAGTATAGCTCAGTGGGTCAGGGAAGCACACAAGCCGTCACACCATGGTAAGCTCCAGTCTCTTCTTGATGGATTGGACAGGAATTATCCTAAATCCTCTCTGTTGGAACATCTGGAGGGGACCCTTTACATTAAAAATATCTGTTCGGAGAATGGCACACCCGGTGGGATATTCCCATCACCCGAGTTCCTTGGCACGTTTGAGGCCTGGAAATGAATATGGTGTGGTGGTGAAGAAAGCTGGTACCTTGGTCCGGATCAGTGGAATACCGTCGGGCTTAGGGTTCAGTAGCAGGTTCTCTAAACCGGAGTGGATGGTATACCAGTGTCATTCTCCTGGTAACTTCGAGCATTTTGATAGTATCTATATATGAGTAATGGGAGACCTGTGTCAATAAAACCACTTATCCTTTTTAAAAATATCCGACTGTCAAATATCGCTCCATTTCTGACATCGGGAATTTTGTAACCCAAAGCAATCACTGCAGTTAGTACAACCGCCTGTCG